CAATTAATCTAACTCCTGATAGTGAATGTGCTTTGCAAACAACAAAATGTGCAAATGTAACTTGAGCTAAGAGCACAGACTCTGTCAAAATCTCCTACTAGCTAGTGAGCTTGATTACCTCACTGACCTTCCTAAGCTTCACTTTTCTTTCTACAAAATAGGAATAAGGAAGAAACAGGTCTTACTTCTTAGGATTGCTGATAGGATTAGACGCATTATATAGGTAAAGTTAGCAGAGTGCTTGGCATTCAACAAGAACTCCACAAATGTGTTATTATTAGCTATTACTAATAATTTTATTTTCATACCAATGTTACCAATGTTATTTTCTGAAATAAATAAGATCTATAGATATTAAGATAATAAAGTATATGAAATTAAGACTCAAAGTCGCCAAGTATGTGACAGCACAATTTTAGATGGAAAAGGCTACCATTTGGTTTAATACCATTTTCAAACATATATTTAAAGTGCCAAGGTATACATGAAAAACTGCTAGGCATTTTAAGAACTTTTCAGATATAGTCTGTGACATCAAAAACATAGTTAGACAAACTAATCCTGCTAAATGGGACAAACAGCAAAACCTCCAACTTTGGGCTTTTTTCCAACCAGAAGATGCACCTACATATTTTGCTGGGGTCCACTCTTCCAACATCAGCTAAATTATTGCTGATCCTTTTAGCTTTTAAAGTCAGAGAGAGGTGAAAGAATAGTGCAGAAGGATTTTGACTAAGAGCACAGCCCACTGTGCTGCATGTATCTTCAATTGGCCTCAAGAGTCACGCTAACTGAAAAGATCTGCAACTCTACAACAGGGCATGATATCCATTTGTGCCTATTTCCGCATATATTTGCCACACCTCCTATGGGGAAATTCTTTTCTATGCCCAGTCACAAAACTTTGTACTGCACCCATAGTTGTAAAGCAAACTGAGTATCATCCATAAAACAATATAACAAATATTTCCTTAAAAAACTTTTCAATAATAAAAGCAATCTGTAACCAAAAACTTAGTTCACATATACAAAATTAGGCTCAAATATTAAGGATGAGGAATTTACACATTTTTTTCAAAAGTTTTCCTGTTAAAGGATTAAGAGGAAGGGGGAACAGAGGCATGAACAACAACAAAAAAAGGTGGTTGTGTATTCAAGGTCTATCTCCAGGTTCTAAGGAACACTTATCTCGTCAGCCAAACCTTATCCACTTGTACCACCCAAACTCAGAAGTTAAAAGGCAAAGCTACACCCATTACTGCTTTCTCCTCTTCTACCATACTTAGCAATGGAAAGCATCTTTAGAAAAGAAGTTGAATTCTAAGGAAAAATTCTTTACTGATCAGATAACAGCAAAAGTGGACAAAACTTAAGGCCAGAGACAGGTATTAATATTAAACAAGCAATTTCTGAAGGCTCGTTATCTATTTACTCCTTACTACAATAAACCATATAAATATTTGTTTATATGTAGAAAAGCTATGTGCAGAAAAGCTTCCAGTACAAATTTCTTAGGCCTCTTGTCCTGAGTCTCTGAAATGATAGTCAAAGTAAAGACAAAGATCAGAAAGGATTAGGAAGAACATTTGTTCTATTTCTTGTTTGTTCTATTTTTCTAAACTGGTCCCAGTGTAGCCTCTTTTATGACTGCCATGATCCATTCTTTTGGCTATTATGATAAAATGTTCCTAATCTCTCTAGGCCTTTCTAATTTAGGCAAGTCCTGATACAGTGCAATTCATTCTACATACTCAGATGAAATCTTTTGGTCCCTGGAACCCTCATTTTCTCCTTCTAAAGTCCTGTTGAGGCCCAACAATTATTAAAGAGGAGACATCCTGTGAATGGTTCTGCAGAAACTGGTGGGTAGAGTAAGGAACTTTCAGCAGCTGGGGTCCACTCTTCCAACATCAGTCTGTTTTTATCTCTTCCAGATAGCATTTAAGGAAAGCAGAGTGGAAAAGGATGTCTTAGACATGAGAGGGTGCAGCAAAGAGCTACCCTAAACTTTTTAGGAATCCTACTCTTCTCACTAGTTATTGGTACTTAAGTCTGGAAAATCTTTCAGATATGTCTTGTGTGTAAGAATACATAAAAGATAACACCTTGCAAAAGTCAAACATATAGGTTTAATAATGTGCAATAATAAAGATGGTTTATAAATGAAATACCACCTATGCATTTAGTCCCTAAATGTAATCTGCTTTTAAAGAGCAATCATTATTCTACTTCTTAAAAATAAAACTATCTGTATATAATTCAAGTGTCTGCTCAAAATCACTAAGTTTAAATTTGATAATAAAGCATTTTAAATTTCAACCAATGCACCTTTGTTGAAGCACATTTAGCTGAAATAACTTTGTCTGGTTTATTTCCATCTCATATAGTACATTTTTTCCAACAAGAACATGTACATTCAATATAGAACATTTCCAGCAACAATTACAGTCTTTCTAATTTCCTTTCACAGTATAGTTTAGTGCAAAGCACTGAGAAGGGTAAATGTTTTTCTAGCTATAGAAGCATTTTATTATGACCGTGTGGATCTTCAACATTTTATAATTTTATACAAAAAGTATATAGATGGAAAGCTTCCCTTCTAAGTACAGGTGTGAACCTATATAAAAACATGGTATATTTTCTGCTGTACCTTTTAAAATTATAATGACACACATTACTGAAAAATAAAATATTCCCTAAAAAGTACAAAATATTGATACACAAAAAAACCTGCCCAAAATTTCATATGGATGTACTTGTTTTTCCTAAAATCTTGATTACAAAAATGGATAAGAATTCATTATTATCTAAATTTTACAGTAGGAATCAAATGTATCTAAAGTGGTTATTTAAATTTTTTCTTGGGAGGAAAAAAATCAGGGTTTGCGCCCCACCTTCCTTTTTAAAAATATTTAAGTAAATTAGCTAGTATCATAAGAAGTGGTTGTGCATGGATTGTCTGCATCCATAAAATATCAGTAAGCTATTTACTGCCTTCATATTAACATTAGTAAATGTGTGGTCTTAAAAAAAAAAATTGAAAAATAAGGCTGCATCTATCATTAAAGTGCTTTATATAAAACGTAAAGAAAAATAGGGAAATGTTTACTTTTCATAAAAACCTCAATGTTTAGAAATTTAAAATATGACCCATGTATGAAAATGAGCAGTAACTTTCCTGTATTATATATTTTAGAATAAAACTTTCAAACATTTAAGTGCTAGAGAACAAGTTAGAGATAAATGGATGTAAAAATTATCACAAATATTTAGTAGACTAAATATTTATAATGTGTTGATACTAATTTTTCTTTTGTTCCTAACATATACTCACTAGAAAACCATATATCTGTTCAATCCAGATGAAAATTTTTTCAAATAAAGTGAAACAAAACTAAAATCACTAAGATATACAGTAGTTTCTGTGAATTAAAACAGGTATTTTCCTCAGGTCGTTGATCTTATTAATCAACACTATTTGGGAAATAAAATTTGCAACATTTTTGTAGAACAAATGCACAAAGTCAAGGTGGTTAGCTGATAAGACTTGATGATGATACGTAATGCCACAACTACTTTAAAAGTGCTGGAAAATAGGCACTGCTTTAGAAACAAGTAGTTAGATGGTTATTATTTTAGTCAGAAAACAGCAGTTGAAAATTTATAAAACTTTTTTCCTTTTTTTCCTCATAGTACCATGTGAAGATGTTTAGTGGTTCTAACACCAATTTAAAGTCTTTCCACAAACATGAACTCCAAACCTTTTCACACATCACTTGAAGTTATCTGAGGAGAAATAGGAATAAATGAATACTTTTTGAGTTTACCATTAAATCTTGGTCTTAAAATTATACAAGAGTAAGTAACTTCTAAAGGATGGTTTCATCTCAAATTTTTCACACAAATAAAATGTGTGATAATCAAACCACAGTAATATTTAATCTACTCAGCCCTCAAACTAAGAATTTTGCTTTAGAACCTGAATCTAAGACTAACTTAATACTTATTAAATACATTAAAAGCCTTACAACAAGGGAAACAGGTGCTAAAGGTAAACCTTAAAAATATTTAGATTTTCAAAAATGAATACAAGGAGTCTATTTCTTAGTTTACAATGTATTTTTAAAACCTACGTTTGTCCTAAAACCTTTAAAAAGTAAGATTTCTCTCTCTTTCAAATAGGGATTTTACTTTTCTTGCAATGCACAACCAACCAAAAAAAAAAACCCTACGTAATAGTAACTATGTTGAAGTGATCACCAAAATGGTTTATTAAACAGAAAGGGAAAAATAAAGAGTATCTGGACCTAAATAATCATTTTTTTCAACAGATCAAAACTAAAAAGCAGTCACTAACACACACTCCCAAGGAGAAGGAAAAAATCCAAACTTTTGTTTGCCAACTTTCCCCCTTTGCCTGGAAGCATTGTTAGAAGTAAATAATAAATGCTACTCATTCTAAATTCAATTTGGGGATTTTTTTTTTTTCTAAGTGCAGCACTTTATTCAGCCATCACAAATTAATTTTTACAATAATTACAGTGCCTCAAAAGTTTTTTTCCTATAATTATTGCCTTCACAAATTCCTTCTAATGTATTTAACTTTCCTACAATGCATGAATTAGTAGACTAAGTCACTGAATCAAATTAAACCTGTGCAAAGTTAGTTAAACAGATTTCTACTGTAAACATAAGCCAAAATAAATGCATATTTTTTACAACATTAAAAGGAAAGCACTGACCCTATGTCATCTACCTATAACTACATTGCATTGTCTTGTGGAAGGTAAATTCTGAAGTTACTTTTGTTCTCAAGCCACTGGAATAAAGGTCACTGAAGAGGTAAATGCAATATGCACATTACTCTTGCAGTTCCCACTGCCATAAGACATATGGAAGCAAATATGTGTTAAAATGGAACCAGCTATAAATTATGGTCAAATGGTTTTTTTTTTAGTTCGATGGGGAGAAAAAAGCAAAACTCTGTAACTGTTCCTCACCAGACAAGAGCCTTAGATCTTGTACTTCGGCCTTTGGTTTTGTTTCCTTCAGGTGAATTGGAAGCATTTGCCTTATGAGTTTTCTTATGATGTTCAAGATAAGTCTTTTTAGCAAATGCCTTTCCACATTTATTGCATCTGTGAAGAGAAAAGTTTTTTGTGACTTTTACTTCAATACCGACGTCAGCTACCTCATACTTTTTACTAGGAGAATTAGAAGTGCCGTCGTGTTTTGAATCATTATGTTTTGCTTCGTCCCTTGAAGGGCCTCTTTTTGCCACTTTATTTAGAACAAAATCAATAGGCTTTTTTATAGCTCTGATCTCTAAACTGGCTGTTATTTTGCCAAGATAGCGAGATGACTTTTTATGAACCACAGTTATATGTCGTATCACATCACGTTTCCGACGAGTTTCATAAGTGCAAAGAGGACACTTGTAGAATTTAACATAAATGTTATTTCCATCTGTGTGCAACTCGATGTGTTTAGTCAAGTTCTGTTTGGAAGTAAACTGACGTTTACAAAGTTTACAGTAAAGTTGCTTAAAGTCAAAGCCAGCTGAAAGTTTTGGTTTCCTGGTTTTTTGTTGGCCACCTGCAGCCGACGGACTGGTTGATTTAGGGCTTTCAGAGTCTTGTTTAACTTTATTTTTCTGTGCTGCCGGTGTGTTCTTTTTTTCATTTGAATGATTTGTTCCCTTTAATTCATTCTGCGGAGAATGGGTAATGGAAGGGGGTGAAGATTCTACAGAATCTGCTGGTTCAACTTTAACTTTTATTTCTGAACTGTTGGCAGTATTATTAGGGCCTTTCTCTCTTTTAGAGTTTGTTCCAGAAAGAGTTATCTTGTGAACAATTTGCATATGTCTTTTAAGCATTATTTGTGAACTATATTTCCTCTTGCAAAGAAGGCATTTGCATGCAGTTAAATTGTATTCAGCCTTTGAAGACGACTTTTGTTTTCGAGTCTTAAAAGATTTTTTAGGAGAAACAGAATCCAGGAACAAAGGTTGCCCAGGCTTTGTTGCTATATCAGGAGTAATTGAATCCCTCCTTAGTCCTCTATGAACTTCATCAAAATGCCTTCTTACATTCGCTTTTGTAGCAAATGATTTACAACATACTGGACAACTCCTACTTAATGAAACTAGAACATTCTTACTGCGTCCTTTAGAGGACTGGTTTGGATTCTTTCGTGTTTCAATGTACTTTTTTAGTTCTTCCATCTTTTTCTTGTGTACTTTTCGAATGTGACGACGAACACCTCGTCTAGAATTGAATTCTTTTCTACAAAGACAACATATCAACTGGTGACCAAAATCAGAATTGTCAGAAGTTTCTGGGTCAGGCTGTGATTCCTGAGGTTGTTCATCGGATGTTGGTGCAACTTCATCAGCAACAATATCAACAGGAGGAGGTTCTACAGTTTCTGCCTCTGTGTCTGTAACTGTTACTGTTTTAGACTGCTCAGTGCTGGTTTCCTGTATTTGAACTTCAGTTTGCTCAGGAGTACTGCTTGACTCTGTGACTTCAGTAGGATTATCAGTCCTTGAAATATACTGAAATACTGCATTTTGATTAGTTTCTATGGGTTCTAGCTTAATGATATATTCTCGTTTGTCCACACTTGGATATATGGCTTCTAGGAGATCATTTATGGCTTGGCTTTGTTTATCATTTACGTCAGGAAGGTCTGTTAAGAAAAAAAAAAAACATTTTAATCTGAAATAACTGGCCTGTTGTAGTCCTCTAATATTTTTAAATATTTTATGATAAAACCTAGCATTAGCTAAACTAAAATTTGCTTTTAAGTCCTCATTACAGTACACAAATGTTAAGAAAGGTACAATCTGAAGAGCTACTTCTAAGCACCCTTTTTTACAAGTACATGGATGTCTTAATAAATACAGCACTATATATTTTTAGCCCGTTTTAGACTAGCAAAAGCATTCAAATTTCTTATAACTTCTTATAATCATGAAGAATGTTACTATATAAAGTTTTTATGTAAAACACAACAGTATTTCTATTACTGTAATCCTTAACAAATAATGTAGTCTAATCATATAGATACATCTAAGTATTTTACAGAAATGAAAAAGGTTTCTAAGCAATTATACAAACATGAACAGTAATATATATATGCATGTATTTGTTAAATTAAATACTACTGTCAACATGATACAATCTTACTAAAACAAAGGGTTAAAAACTATACTTTTATCCCCAAAAGAGAGCTACTTTTGTTTATTAATTGTACAGTACTATACCCTCTTTAGGCAACCAAATATCCTACTGTAACAGTTGTCTAATATTAGTTTCCACATACAATTCTACAATCTAGCCACAAATACATAATTAAATCTAGCATCTATTTAGAACTCAAAAAATTATTCATTATAGCTCCTCTAGTCTACTTGTCTTTCTTTTTAAAATGGATAAAGTAGTGTCTATAAGGGTAATACTTTCACAAAAGTGTTTGCAGAATTGCCAAAAGGAGTACGCAATAATATGCCAAATCCATTTATCTATTTCATGATATAAGAACTCCAGAATCAAAATATAACAAAGAATAACTACCAAGAAATAAGTTAAGTTTCTACTAATATTTTAATTAAAAGGTTAAATTTAAAACTAATTTTGCTATGGACTATAATTTATACACCTGATAAAAAGACGTAAAGTAGTATCAAACAGTAGTAGAAAATTATGGACAAATACAAAATATTCATCTTTCTATATCATGTAACATACTTTAAACCAATTTCATAGTAGTAAGTAAAGAAGTACTTTGATATTTGAAGTTTGCATTTCATCCCCATGCCAAAAAGTTTAAGTTGAGGAGCCGGGGATTTAGCTCAGTGGGTTCACTGCCTGCTGCGCAAGCGTAAGGACCCGAGTTCGATCCCCGGTACCAGAAAAAAAAAGTTTAAGTTGAAACACATGAGATCTCTAAGGCATCTATGGTATCAGAATGTCAAATAAGTTCTATATTTTGTAAGTCCACAGAGTTGAATCCCTGAATAAAAAGTAACCTATTAAAGTCTTTTAAAAGAATTCGTTATTTAAAGCAAGAAAATAATACCATTATACACACTGCTAACAATACAAGAACAATACACTTAACAAACATTTAAATCCACGAAGACTTTCTTACTCTTCTACGTGCCTTCATCACAAACAGCTATTCTGACCTCAAGTAAGTGACAAAACTGAATTTTGGTAAATTAAATTTTGCTGAGAACAAAACTGATTTTCAAATCAAGACTCAGAAAACACTAGAAAGTTTAATAAAGATTTTCTAATGTTCTCTACCATTCCCAAAAAAATCAACTAATTTACTCACTCTTTGCTCTTTATTTCCAACATTCTCATCCACTTAATGGAAATCTAAGTAAGTGATCAATCATATTTGGTAACAAATTATCAAAGATGTAAAAAGGAAAAATACCAGAAATTGCTCCCTTCAAAATAGCATCAATATTCTGAATTACAGATATCCTGAATATAAATTATGTCCCATATAAACATTCAAAAATAATATCCAATATTTTAATCCAAATAAATCATACTCATAAATCTAACCTCTTATATGATATCTAGGAAAATCCAAGTGGAAAGCACTAATATGAAAGAACCTATTTTAAAAATTGAATATAACACTAAGTATTTAATTTTATTCTCCATCACTAAATTATCTACAACTAGATATCAATACCATTTTAATGCAAATACACAGCTGCAGCAGTGTAAGAAAACTGTAAAATGCATAACTAAATATATAAGTAAAACTTACTGTCATCCATCTGAAGACTTGGTGGGCAATAGAATTTCTTATGGGTAATTAAATTAGGTAATCCTCTGAAGAGACTTCGGCATAATTTACATTCAAAAATTGTGTCTACATCTTTCAATAAAATATGCTTAAGTTGTTTGGTTCCTGGGATGGAAAGAAAGGAAAATTCAACACAAAAGATAACTTTAACATTCACTTTTAAACTAGGTAACCAATGAAGCAATCCAAAAGTGCAGTTACTCTTTGAAAACAAAGGCACTGCCAATTCCTATCACAGTGTATTTAGAATTAGGTTACACACTAAGTTTTAAGCAAAATCCTATAATACACTGGAAATCTAGACAGCTAAAACTGATTCCCTTTTCCTACTTCAGTAACCAATCAATTCTTGGAATATCTCAATGCAGTAGTTCTGACATCTAATCATTACAATAACTGGAAATAAAGATGTATGTTACCCTTCCCTAGAGATTATGACTCAATAGGTCTGGTTGAGCAGGAAAACGTTTTCATATCACCTCTTGCCAAAGTGCTTGGCTGGTCCTTCCTGCTCTTTTCTAAATTATAAAGTGAACAAGTAGTTTTTCAATACAGTTTCCCAACTCATTAGAAGATCAAAATTGTATCACAAGATAGCCTATGACTTTTTTTTTAATTCAGTTTACATTATTTCAGGTTCTGAGCCAATATGGCATTGTATCTATTCTAATCGAAAGATTCTACAGAGAATCTCTGTCTATACTGACAGATAATTCTGAATCTTGATTAGGCCTCTTGATAGCACTATAAATTTATGCAAAGCCTTTCTCCTTCTGAACTCTTACCCAACTGCAATTAAGTATTGGTATAATTTGTAGTTCAATGTCTGTCTTCTCCACTAGATTATAAGCCCTCAAAGCAGCCAAGATCAACCCTATCTTATTTATAACTATAACATGTGTTTAGCTCTAATAATACTCAATAAGAATTTGTTGAAGAAATGCTACTGGATCTAGGGAATCTAAGCATTGTATTATGATAGGAGATTAAAAGACACAGAAAAAATAAATAACAAGAAGGATCAAATAATCAAAATAAAAACATCCAAAGAAGAAACATAATGTCTTTTGTTGCTACTTTGCAGGTATTTGCCAAAGGTAAGCAGACAAAATTATCTTTAGAGCTTTACTCTGTCTTTAGTTTCTTCAAATTAAAAAAAAAAAACTGATAACATTGACTTAATTTTGTCACTTAATATTGACAAAGTGTTCTGAAAAATATCCTTAAGATCATTTAGGCACAAAATGTTGTCATTCAACAAATATTTGACTTCCTATTAAGCTCTGGGACTACCAAAGAGTATAAAATATTTTAAGCAGAATATTCTGAGGTCTATAAAAGTTAAGTGTTTCTGATTCAATCTTTTGTAGTATATTTACATTTAACTTTTAGAGTCTATTTTATCATCATTTCAAAGGTAAGTCAGTCCTCAAAATTCTATTGGAAAAAAGACTGATTATCAGGTTATCAGAATATTTTAAAGTCTCTAGACACTGCAAATCTGATATTATCTAGTTGTATGACCTTAAAGACCCACATAATCTTTGCACACTGGTTTACTATCTGTAACAATCCAAACTATCTTGAAGAATTATGAAAGAAAAATTAAATTATACAACTGAGTTGCTACTGGAAAAGATATGAGTATCTACCATTGCCAAAATCCAAATCTATGTTTATTTTACTAAATCCTACTGCCTACTGTTTTTACCCTGAAAACATAAATTTAAAGAGTCAGGGAATAGCTTGAGTGATATTCTTTATTTAAAAGTAAATTCTTGGGCTGGAGATCTAGCTCAGTGTTTCCACCGCCTGCCTCGCAAGCGCAAGGTCCTGAGTTCGATCCCTGGTACCAATAAACTAAAATAAAAGTAAATTCTTGTATCTTCCTCTAATCCATTTTACATTACAACATATTTAGACAATAGATGGCTAATATATTTACTTCACAGTTAACTTCATAAGTGATTAACAAACTATGAGAAGCAGACTGAGGATAAAAATATTTTAGTTAAGCCTCTCTGATTCTACATGTATTCAGAAGTATATCTAAGTAGAGAACTTGTGAGAAGATAAAATAAAACTTTTTGCACATGGTCACTAAGTTTAAATACTTGCTAAGTCCATACTAGATGTTCAACTGTGACTTAAAAGATAGTAAAAAAAAAAAAATTAAAGAAAAATATAAAAATCTGTTTAACTTAAAAATTCAACTGAGTGGGCATGGTGCCACACACCAGTAAGCCCAGCTGCTAGAAGCTGAGGCAGGAGGATCACAAGTTCAAGACTAGCAGGAGCAGCAACTTAGCCAGACTCTGTCTCAAAATAAAACAAACTTTTAGGATGAATCTTTTTTTTTTTTCCTTTGGTACCAGGGATCAAACTCAGGACCTTGTGCTTGCAAGGCAGGCACTGGAACCACTGAGCTAAATCCCTGGCCCTAAAACAAATTTTTAAAAGGACAGAGGACATAGTTCAGTGGTAGAATGCTTGTCTAGCATGCACAAATCCTTCAGTTCAAACCCCACTACTAGAAAAAATTTCAACTGAAGCTTTAAATGGAAAGTATACAATAGCAGATTTAAAGTATAAAAAAATCAGCCTGTAAATAACCTGAAATTATATATAAAAATATAAAAAGATGGTCAAGTGTAAAAATATAAGACAGTATCCCTAAACCAAACATATATATTTTGTCCACCATCTTCTCTCAATTATAACTATCAATTTTTTAATTAGTCCCAGTTAAATAGTTATATTTGGTAGGAAATGTATGTTTATTCCAAATAAACATTTTTAAAAAGTTATCTGCCTCTAACTTGACTAATTTATCTTAGTTATCAATCACAAATACTACCCTCACACAGAGTTACTGCTGACTCAATCTTAGTTATCAATCACAAATACTATCCCCCCACACAGTTACTGTTGAACCAAGTATACCAAATTTCTTTCAAGTTGGCAGATATATCAAATGTCCTCTCCCTCCCTCACTTTACAGGTCACCTATGCTCTTCTCTCACTGTAACATTTTCCTGCTCCACTAGTCTGGCTCACTGCTAAGAACGTTCAGATCCCAGGTTAGATGTCATTCTTCAAGGAAGCCTTTAATCCTGTATGTTGTTATGAATTCTTCATATACTCCAACTGCACCCTATATATCTACACCAGCTTCCCACCATCTTATAATCAATTATTATCTGTGTCCCTATTAAACAAGATCTAGGAGAAAAGATATCTTTGCTGCTCATCACTGTATTCCTAGCCCTCAGGAAAATGTCTGATTGACATTTGTTACATGACATACTGGAGAGCTCTCTACACCTTCAAAAATACCTTGTTCTTTTTTAATCTATGTGAAGTTGACTAGGGAATGTAAAAAAGAGGCATTAAGTGTTTTCTAATTCTTAAACATTTTACAAATGAGAAAAATTAGTGTCTCATTTCCTAACTATAGACATTCAAAGTTTTTCCCTAAGTTAGCTTCAGTCAACATTTCAGATGTTATATTTTTCCCATGGGAACATAATGGCTTTATTCAAAATCAGCTACCATTTTCTGATTGTTTTGCTCACCTACAAATATTTAGATACAGCCAACCATGCCTCTGTAAATGGCTAAAATTCCCAGTCACCTGAGACAACAAACATGATTATCTAACAGCAAACAGTGAACCATGTTGTTTTCCTCCAAAGTATTCCTTTTCAGACATTTCTTTCTTGCCTTAGTGTTTTGTTTTTGCTTTTGTCTTTGGTTTTTAAATTATCTTCAAAGTCACTAGTTACTGCTTATTGACAGATCATCAATCAGGATCTTTAAAATAAAACAGTAACGCTTTCAGTGATGTATTACTGCCACATACCATAATAAATTTATAAGTAGAATAAAATTACTTTAGGACTGTACCTACTTGTGAATCTTTTAGTTTAATCTAACAAAAAAAATCTAACAATTATTGAGCACCTATTAAAAACCAGGTATAATGTTACTCATTGTTAATACGAAAGTTTAGGGCGTATGGTCTGTGCTGCTGAGAAATTCATGAACTAATATAAATAGCTGCTCCCCTAGGAACACAGGCCTAGAGGACACACTCTGAAGATAAATGTAAGAACAACACATGACACAACTCTACATTTTCCCCATTTAACCAAAAAAAAAATTAAATCCAATCTAAATTTCCTACAATTTCTATGTAACAACTCAAAACAAAATTCCCATTGTAGAATAGGGCACTCTCCTGTGTATCTCTCATAAATCATACCTCCCTCATAAGCTTTTGTCTAAAGAGTAAAGACTGAAGCACCACCATTCAGTCAGAGCTCACACTAATTAAATTTTAAAAAGTTGTTTCAAGCAGAAAATAAGTAAATAAAATAAAAACTTATAAGAAGTAAAATGACCAAAATGAGGAAGATAATTTCAACAGCAAACATCACACAAAACTAATTGTTACTTTTCACTACCATTCTATAAAAGTTACAATTCACTCCTAAGAGTCAAAAACAATGGAGTTACTTGTACACAGTAGTCTGGTATTATCTACATGTAAATTTTTTCTTTTTTTTTTTTTTGGTACCGGGGATCGAACTCGGGTCCTTGTGCTTGTGAGGCAGGCAGTGGAACCACTGAGCTAAATCCCCAGCCTGTACATTTTTTTCTATAATGCTATATATTATTTGTTTTCACAACATTATACATTGTAAGAATCTTTTTAAATGTGAATTTCCTTCATATTAAAGATCAGTTTTGAATACTGGATAAAATAATTATCCTTCTTCCCTCTTCCCATTTTTCTGTTTCTAACCTTAAGGTATTCCACAGCCTCTTTGCCTCTCTACCAGAGAAGTAAGAGACCAAGAAAGAATATTAAACTCAAATCAATTTAATAAATAACTAAAAGATATTTAGTAAATATCTAAAGATAGTATATGTTTTACTTATTTAAAATTTTGTTTGGGCCGGGGATTTAGCTCCATGGTTCTGCCACCTGCCTCACAAGCACGAGGTCCCGAGTTTGATCCTGGGTGCAAAAAAAAATTTTTGTTTTGGTTGGAAGAAAGATGTCAAAGAACAAAGATAAACTAGAAGTGTTAAAGAAAAAAAATCTGCAGACATCAAATCACAGATGTGATCCTAGAAGTACTAACAGCCAGGACTAAACTCCACAAAGAAAAAGGCACAGCCAACGTAGAACAGAAGCCAGAAGTTGAGAGCAAACAACAGGTTTCAAATCAGCCAACCATCAAGGATTTCAGACTAGAAAATGTGTAGATACAAAACAGCAAGGCTTCCAAAAATACTTATCTCTGGATTGATATACAAAAATAATCAAATCTACTGTCAATAAAACAGGTACACAAGAGTGTGCTGTCATCTACCACTTATATTGGGAAGAAAATGAGGGGTATATTTGTACATGTATAAAAGGTCCCTGGAAGAAGACACTTAAATCATATAGAAACAGCTGCCTGAGCAAAGGAGAACTGGGAGACAGTATAGAAGAGATTTAATTTTTTTGTTCTAAATCCTTTCATATTTATTATTTTTTAATCCAAAGAAACATATTAGTTATTCCAAAAGAAAAATCTATTTAACTTACAAATCAAGGAGCCAGAAAGAGATATGAGGTGAAGAATCTGTAATTTAAAGTCAGAAAAACCATCCAAAGCAAAAGCTAAAGTATAAGGCAAACAGAATACATTAAAATTGCTCAAGTAGTCAATATAACACACATGGAACTAGTGACCTTAAAAATGAGTCACCTCTCTGGGCATAGTGGTACATGCCTATAATCCCAGCACTCTCAGAGACTGGGACAGAAGGATCACAAGTTTGAACCCAGCCTGACAACTTAGCAACTTAGCAGACCTTGTCTCAAAATTTAAAATAAAAAAGTGGGAGGGGGCTGGAGATGTAGTTCTGTGACAAGCCCGAGTTCAATCCTCACTGTCACACACACATAAAAAGTTAACCCCGCCCCCCCCCCAAAAAAAAAACTCCTTCCTCATACAGAAAACTTTTACAAACTTCCAGCTTGGGACAAATTAAAACCAGCTCATGGATGGCCTCATAATGGTGGGAGAAGGTTAAGACAGTGAAACAGATGATGACAACCATCTGAGCTTGAAGATAAAAAATAGATTATCTTATCACAGTACTACTATCCAATCTGACTTAGCCTCTGTTAGGTTAACAAGAGTAGAAGCACAAGGTTCAGAGTTCTTTCTCCAAATATATGTCAAAAGATACACAACACCACCAGGATAGTTCTTTAAATTCAATGTGTATGACCTAGTTGTAATGAAAAGAGCCTAGAAAGAAATGACTCACTGAGGGTGTGCTCAGGAGTAGAGTGGGACATGGAGGAACTGTCAATCTCTGTGTTAGAAGGTATCTTAGTCCCTAAGTCATGTGACCCAAATTTCTATTCCATCCTCTGAAGGTTTTAGTTGGTCTTGATTTAAATACTTTTGTACTAAAGAGCTACTAGATTAGTATCTTGAAGAAATTAAAATTTCTTATTCATGAGCATAACAATGAAATAAAACAATTTTTTAAATAGAAAATTAGTTTCTCTGTACCATACAGCATATATCCAAATCATCTCTTACTTATTCAATACTTAGAGAACTAAAATTATAGTATTTTTAGAATTTGCCTCAAAAGGCTAAGGACATTTTAAAAAGAACACACTTCAGAAGTTAAACATAAATGGTTTTGGAATTACACTATTTCAGATTACTCATTTCAGTCCCTGTTCTTTAGCTTAGATTATAAAAAAAATGGCAAATACAGAAAACAGATATAATCACAACGCAATAAAAAAAAAAAATTTCATCATTAACATTTACAAGGACAAAAATGTGTCTTCCAAAATTAAAGACCCAAATTTTAAGTACATAATCCTTTGTTGGAAAGGTATTTTTACAAAACAAAGTAATTTATGTTTAACCAACTTTAAATTCTTATTCAAATAACTACAATAAACTGAGGCAGTATAAAATAACTTTATTAATTCCAAATTATGAACTTAAAAAAAAAGATGGCAAACAGTACTACTAAATGGAAAAAGGTATTACCCTCATTTTTATAAAGAACAAAAAGAACTTTTATCTTTATTTTTAAAGTAGTTAAAACAAACAGAAAATAACCATTTTTATCTTATGCCAGGGGAAATAGTCACTAAGCAAAATTTTATTTTAATTGTATTTATCATAGGAAAATTTGACCCATGAGTTTTTTCTGTTAACCAAGAACAATTATCAAAAGTAAAAAACAGACTCAAAAAATGCTCTCAAGTGGGGCATAAGATCATTTAACAATAAGAATAGGAGCATGGTATACAAGAATACTTACTAAATTAAATACAATATATTGACAATAAAGTCAATATTATATATTGACTATAATATTATACTGACAATAAAAATACAATATTGACAATGAAGTCAATGTCACAAAGACTACGATGAGAACTCTGAGAAATAGGTCTTCGAGTCAACAAAAAAGAACTCTTTTTAAGCTACATTAAGGAACAGCCTATTACAATCTTAAATTAGATATATGCTATCCTCCCTTACAATAATGTAAAAATAACTAACTCAAAAAATTTCTCATCAATATAAAAGTTACACATAAATCACCTTTTCCTTTGAAACTCAAATGTTTCACTAAGATAGTATGTTTTAAAATAATGACAACATCATTTGAGAGATGCAAATGAAAACAATGCTGAGATTCCACTTCACTCCAGAAAGAATGGCTGCTATCATGAAATCAACCAATAACAAATGCT